CCCGTACCACAACCCGTACCACTTTTCTTATAGGGCATGAGTAGTAATTGGCATTTAATAATAATAATAATAATAATATTATTATTATTATTATTATTATTATTATTATTTTATACAATTGCGATAGGCTTCAAGAGCATAATACACACAACAGTGACTCAAGTGATTCCAGTAACGATGGCACCAAAACAACGGCTATAAAAAAACGACGCAAATTAACTGCAGCATCGACACCAGTGATGACCGATGAACTGATGACGAACGAACGATTAAAAAGAAAATAAACAAGCAGTTAGTAAACAAAAAAAAAACAATTAAACAAAATAGAATAAAGTTATGCTTTTGAATGAACGACATCAGCAACGGCGAAATTAATGGCGACACATACAAGAGAAAATATAAGGGCGGCCAAACTGTAGAAGAAAATAAAAGTAAAGAAGTACTGCAGTGTTGTACAGTAGATAATCAACAAACGAAAAAATATTACACAGATTTTTGTAAATTTTATAAAAATGAACCTTGAGATTATAGAGTATCGCTCTTTTCGATTTAGTTGGATCGTCGATCCAGCTAAATTGAAAAATTTTTATAAGCTTTAAATAAAAATAAATAAAGCTGTCATTATAATGTGGTCGCCATGTATATTTAATAAATTAAATAATGCAAAAAATTATTATGAGCACGAATATTAAATTTCAAAACAACTTTTTTTAAAAATCATGCGTACTACTGTATTACAAGGAACTGGAAACCAGTGTAAGTCCGGAGCGTAAAATATTAAAATTATATTAAATTAAAAATTTGGTATTACTTCTAGTTGGCAGTTGTATAAACTATAGTAAAGGTCAGTACTATTGGTAAGTATAATACGTATATATTCAACCAATCAGCATTCATAAAAGGGACGGACAGACAACTTCACGATCACACGCTGTCGTAAAAACAGAGCGCGGAGGATCTACAGACAGTTCTTAGGGACAGTGCAAATCACGTGATAGTTGAAGAAAAGATGATTTTTTTTTTGCTGAAATATCTCCAATGCTCACCAAGGCTGCAAAATTGGCATAGTTGGGTATTTGAACGAAGTGGAAGGGCAAATTTTATTTGTTAGGGCTACTTCCACAAAAATCTAAAAGAAAATTTTAGAAATTTGCAAATTGATCAACTCTACCCACATATCATCATGCATTCAATGCTAAGATCTCGAAAAAATACGAAATTACTTGTCGCTAACTTTAATTACTCGGACCTATTCAAAAAGGAAATTTTGGCAATTGAATGATCAAAAAATTTTGCTTTTTGAATTCCACACCAACTGTACACAGGCCAAATATTTCTTGGTTTAATTCTTTTATTAAGGTTTAATGTAGTGTGTTTAGGCTGTATGGCTGTTAATTATTATTCTTGTGGCAGTTCTGGATGTCATTTCCACTTTTCAACGTATGTACTACATATGTTATAGCAGAAAAACGTGAATGCCATGTGATTAGCGATCATTATTCAAAGATGTGACCCAAATTCGTGAGACTCAAGACCTTAAATGCGTATTGATTGAGAAAAGACATTTGATAATGCTAATTCGAATTTGACTTGAGGCGAAGCTCTGTTAAAATAAATAACAAGGCACCTATTACTCAAATTGTGGATCTAAAGATCATAATCATGTATTACTTATCATTAGTTATAAATACCCTTTCCCTGATACTTTAATTAGTCATATTGCTTGGAGATTCTAATCATAATAGCAAAGTCTCAATGTGATCTATAATGTATCGATTTTGTATAACTAAGGGTGTTCTCAAGCGCCTTAATCAATGGGGCAAAAAGCGTCGGGAAATAAAATTTATTTAGCGGAAATGCATAATTGATAAAACTTATTACGTAAATATTACATTTTTATTAATAAAAAAGATTGAAATGAATGTTTCATTTAAATCAACAAACTTTTTACAACGAACCTCCTTTTTTTTTTTATACCTGTCTTGAAAATTTTACAATCAATTGCCATGGATCATCACGTTCAGCGACGAATTATTATTTTACTCCTCGCACTAAACGTTTTTATGAATGATAAAAAAAAACCAGGAGGCTCAAAAAATATGGTTTGTTGTTTAATACTTCAGAAGAGGTAGAATCCGTATTCGAAGCTGAATCATCATTAGAAACTGTTTCTAAATTATTTGACGCCTTACAGAAAAAAAAAAAAAGAAAAGAAAAAAAAATATTAACGGGTATTATTAAATATCCGGGTAATTTATTATATCCATATACACCTAACGTATTGTATTTTTCGTATTTTTTTAACCAAAAAAAAAACCAAAAAAAAAGAAAAGAAAAAAAATGGCCTGAAGAATCCGCAAACATCGTAACGGCCGTATGAGGTAATAATAATAATAATATATTACACAATATAATATATATTAAGAGTAACTAATAAGATAAATATAATTAAACAATAGACGTGAAGAAATGCATGAAAAGTAAGAATATTTGAGTTATTTGTATCAATAGTATCGGAAATTAAGGTAATGTAATGCCCTAAAAAAAAAAGAAATAAAAAGAAATCGGCAAAGAAATAAAATATCAAACTAATAATCATAAAATTTCTGATCATTTTGTGTTTTTATTTATTATAGAAACCCCATTGGTCCCTTAAAAAGACAAAAAAAAGAAATTGAAGAACTGGAAAAAAAGCGGGAGAAATATAGAAAAAAAATGAAAAAGCTAGAAATAGAATATAAGCATTTAAAAGACAATTACTTACTTTTAGCAGACGCCTATTTGACAAGAGTTCAATAAAGGTTTAAATTCTGAATTATTTTGATGTCAACTATACACTTATCGCGATTAGTCACATTGTGTGCAAATTAATATATGTGCATTAATGTTTAGTTCTTACCCTATGCCATTGGGCGGTTTCGCTAAAATTTAACATAGCTTCCAGAACAGCCGTGCTTTCTTATAATCTTTTACCAAGAGAAATAATTCTTTTTCTTCTGAGATCTTCAACTTACCCTCACAGAATGATTCATTTGCGGCAATGTTTTCAGAACAAGGTTTTTTTTGACTTCATTTTATTTTAATAAAACTTTTAAATGACATCGGACTAACGTTTTGCTTCATTCATTCCACATATATAGTTAACGTTAAAATTAATTTGCAGGATTAATATGGTCGTGAAATTGCGAATTACAAATAACCAAAGCAGTGATTGTGTGAAAAGGCGGATTTGGGATGATTAGTTTCATAGATAAAACACAATATATACTCGAATGAAGATGTGAAAGATGTTGTTCAAGAACAAAGGGCCCTACTGTCATCAAGATCTCCAGGGTTATTATTAGATAATCTTTTTTAATTATAATTTTTCTTACATTTAGGGTGCTCTCAAGCGTCATTCCGATGTGATTAGCAAAGTGATCGCAATGGCGCTCAAGCAAAATTATATTTAAATAAAATTTTTATTGAGAATTCGAATATATAATTTATGATGTAATTGAAATTTTCTCAAGCGTCATCTTCGATGTGATTAATTAGTGATCGTAATGGTGCTCATTTAATAGAATTATTGAAATAAACATTGCAATCAATATTTGAGCGGTTCTTTTATTATTCGTCAAAAATAATAAATAAAAAAAAATGAAAAATAAAAAAACGAAAAATAAAAAAACAAACCCAACCGTTAAGCAAGAAGCAAATGCTGTGAATTATCAAAAATATTCTGACCTGTTGCTCCGTTTGCTGACTTCACCAATTATAATATGTTATTCCAACAACAATATCCCGCCTCCATTTTTTATGAATGTATTAGTTGTAAATAAAGCTGCTATTGAATACAAAGAGGTGTTATTCGCATATTTATTTAGAAATATAATATTTAATAGTATTTTTTTTTATAAATTATTTATACAAATCAATTTTTGTGTAACTCACACGATCGATACCAATCAGATTTGATCAAAACAACGATTTTTAAAATAACAAACCATTATTGCATTGCAAAGTAGTTTCTTATATAAAATTTTGTTTATTTGCTATTTATTAAAATTTTTAAAAAAACGCATGATTTTCACATTACACCTGATTAGGGATGGAAAAAAAACGTTTTAAACAGTTTTTTAGATGTTTTAAAACTTTTTAAAAAACTTTTTAAAACAATTGGCGCTGAGA